TGACACACACTGTCTCACTGACACACGCTGTCTCACTGACACACACTTTCTGACTGACACACACTGTCTCACTGACGGACACTCACTAACTGATGCACACTGAACAAACAAGACACAAGGACATGCTCGAGGATAAACAGACTGGTGTAGAGAGATAAACGAGTTGGTGAAGTGACAGTGGGACAGAATAGTGGAGAAAAGCAGGATGGTAGATAATTGATTGTCACTTTGTGCAGCTGATAGTTCAGGAACATGGAAAAGTGGGGAACCGCACAGGTAAAATGTTCAAAGTCATATAGACACAAAAATCAGGAACAGGTGTAGGCCACTCGGCCCCTCTGCCATTCAATAACACCGTGACTGATCTGATTATTCCACAATTCCCACTTCCCCCCAATAACCTTCCACCCTCTTTTTAATCAACAATCTATTCCCCTCTGCCTTAAAATGTTTCAAAGGCTCTGCCTCCACGACTGTTTGAGGAAGTCCCTTTGAGGAAGTGAATCCTGAACACTCACTGTGCTCCATGAGAAGAAGTTCTCAATGGTTGACTCCTTATGTTTAATCAGTGACCATCTTGCTGACATGAGGAAACATCTGCTTCATATCCACCCGGTCAAGACCCCTCAGGATCTTATAGGATTCAATCAGGTCACGGCTGATTCTTATAAATTCTAGCAGAAACAAACCCAGTCTGTCCAATATTCCTCATAAAACAACCTACTCATTCGAGGCATTGGTCTGGCAAACCTTCCCTGAACTACCTCCAACACCATTTACAATCTTTCCCTAAATAAAGTGACCAGTCCTGCACACAGTACATTAGATGTGGTCTCACCAATGCCCTGTATAACTGGAGCATAACTCCCTACTCTTGTGTTCACTTCTCATTGCAATAAATGAAAACATTCAACTCGCTTTCTTAATTACTTGCTTTTATGATTCATGCACTGACACACCCAGAGCCCACTGTATCTCGCAACTCTGCAAACTCTCACCATTTCGATATTCTGCTTCTTTTTCATTCTTTCTGTCAAAACAGACCATTTCATTTCTTAATTTTATACTCCATTTTCCAGATCTTTGCCCATTAACAGAACTTATCCAAATCCCTCTTCAGCATCTTTATGTCCCCATCACAACTCACTTTCTGACCTATCCTTGTGTCATCAGCAAATTTAGAAACCATTCCTTCCATCCCTTCATCCAAATCCTTTCTATAAATGGTAAGGAGTTGATGTCTCAGCACTGATCCTCAAACAGCACCAGTCATTACATCTTGCCAATCATTCTCAGTTTTCTCTTGGCTAGCCCGTTCCTTATTCATGCTAATATATGACCCACTACATTATTGTCTGCAAGAATCTTTGATGTGGCATCCTATCAAAAGCTTTCTGAAAATCTAAGTGCATGATATCTACTGGTTCCCCGTTATCCACAGCACGTAGTACTTTTTCAAATGGTTAAACATTACTTCCCTTTCACGAAACCATGTTGACTCTGCCTGATTATTCAGAATTTATCTAAGTGCCCTGTCGTGATGTCTCAGATTTTCCCTGCAACAAGCATTAAGCCAACTGATCTGTAATTTCCTGCTGTCTGCCTCCCTCCCTTTTTGAATATATTACTGTGTAACTTGTAATTAGCCTTGCTGCATTCCCTGTCACAGTAAGTAAGAAAACCAGCATTCCCTTTAAGTAACAGAGCTACACAGACTAGAGACGTTTTGGGATGTATATTGTTCTCTGCTCCTGGTTAGGACTCGGTGAATCAAACACTAGCGAATATTTCATATCCCTACTCCTGGCCAATGGTGAAAGACATTTGTCTGTGCGAATGAACATAGAGATGGGAAATACCAATTTCCCCTCTGAGCCACTCACCATTCTGATTTGCCGTTTCATGTTGCCGTTCCTTCACTGTCACTGGGTCAAAATCCTGGAATTCCCTCCCTAAGGGCGTTGTGCATCTATCCATAGCACATGGACTGCAGCAGTTCAAGAAGGCAGCTCACCACCACCTTCTCAGGGGGCAATTAGGAACGGGGCAATAGGTGTTGGCCCTGCTAGTCACACCCATATCTGGTGAATAAATTATAAAATGATCAGGATAGGATAGTGACGTCCTCTGCATCAAATAGCTTAGAACATTTCCCGTAATGATGTGAGTTGGGAGGGGTAGTTATCTATCTATGTGGGTGGGGTGGGGGGCAAGGAGCCATGGCCCTTGGAAAGGAATGGGGGGGTGGTGGTGGGGGAAGGAAGTGAGGTGCAGAGATTATGTCAATCAGGTTTCCAAGTCTCTCAAAACCAACATAGCAGGATCTCTTGTAAGGATGACTACCTTGAAGAAGTTTTCCTCCTCCCTCCGAAGAGAGCTCAGTGAGTCTCTCTCCCACTGCAACCACCACCCCCCCCCCCCCCCCCCCCCCCCCCAACCCCAGCTGTCCACTTTTCCCACTGACTGACCAATCACAATAACCTCCTACCTGCATCCACCTATCACCATCCCACCTACCCTTCCCCCAACCCCCTCCCTCTATTCACTTCTGGGCTCCCCTGCCCCTCCCCAGTCCTGTTAAAAGGTTTTGGCCCGAAACGTTGACTTTCCTGCTCCTCGGATGCTGTCTGACCTGCTGGGCCTTTCCAGGCTCACACTTATAGATTCTGGAGACTTACAATGTTGTGTTATTTCCCTTCCCCCACTCATAACGGAATCAGGGGGCTTCCCCCTCAGCCTGGCCGCCTGTACCAACCAGCTGGACATTGTCACCTTCTTGATCGAGCACGGTGCCGAGCCCCGGGCACAGGACCGGGCTGGGAACACGGTATTGCACGCCCTGGTGTCCATCGCCTATGACACGGAGTCTCGGAGCTTTGTGACGGAGATGTACGACTTTATCTTGATGAGGAGCACGGACATAGCGCCCAGTGAGAACCTGGAGAAGATCACCAACCACCAGGGCCTGACTCCCCTGCTCCTGGCTGCTCACACTGGCAAGATCGGGGTACGTTACAAATCACCAGGCTCCGAATGCCAGCCTGCGAGTGATCGCTGAAGGCAAGGAATCTGACTGGGTTAGCCTTGGGCAGGAGGGAGAGACCCGTTTGGAGGTTTATCCAGTAGCTAACCACCTGGTTACTGTGCGACTGGACTTAGAGTGGGAATGAAGTTTCATTCCATCCAGGAAGATCATTTTTTATCTTGCATCTTTATGAGAATTGATTGCAATTTCACTAAGACCAGCTAATCATTTCCAAATTTTCAAAAGGAAAAGGAATGCAAATTCTTCCAACTCCTGTGGGATTTAATCTCAGAGATCACCCTGGATCATAAATACTGGGCCCGTGATGATAAACACTGGGAACGTGATTATAAACACTGAGTCTCTGATTTTGAACAGATGAGAGATTTTTTTGTTTGAAGTGTTTAGGGTTGGTGATGAGGTGCTTCAGGAAATGCAATCTGTGCTTAAACCCTGCAAACAACATCAGAGGGCTGGTCTATAATTACACAGAGCCCTTTAGGACTCAACTGGAGCAACCCTATTCAATTCTGGGCACCACATTTAAGGGAAGAGAGATTAACCTTGGAGAGGTGCAGTGCAGATTCACCAGCCTGATACCATGGGGCTAAGGGTTCAGAAGGGGCAAGTATACTAGAGTTAATTCTCTTGGTTATAGACAATTAATGGGTAATGTGATTGAGGTGCTCAAAATTATTAGAATAGTACCTACACCAAGTGGATTTTTGTGGTTCAAGAAGGCAGCTTACCATCACCATCACCTTCTCCAGAGCCGTTAGGAATGGGTAATAAATGCTGGCCCAGCTAGCAGTGCCCATGTCCCATGAATTAATTTCTCTGCAAATGCCCTAAAGACAGTGAAAGGCCAAGTTCTCAGCCAGTGAATGAAAGGTGACAACAGTGTGAAAATAATCCTGTGTCAACAGTAAAGGGTAAAAAGGAATAAGAGGAAACAACACTGTGGCTCAGTGGTTAGCACTGCTGCCTCACAGCACGAGGGACCCGGGTTTGATTCCACCCTCGGGCGACTGTCTGTGTGGAGTTCTCCCCGTGTCTGCGTGGGTTTCCTCCAGGTGCTCTGGTTTCCTCCCACAGTCCAATGATGTGCAGGCTGGGTAGATTGGCCAGGCTAAACTGCCCATACTGTTCAGGGATGTGTAGATTATAGAGGGATGGGTCTGGGTGGGATGTTCTGAGGGTTGGTGCGGACTTGTTGGGCCAAAGGGCCTGTTTCCACACTGTAGGGATTCTATATAAAAAAAAGAAACTGAATGAAAAGACTCATTGGTCCAGGTTGGTGCCATCGAACTGTGTTTCCCTCAGTTTGGTTCCTTTATCCATGTGATGTCTATGTATGGAATGTAAGACCGGTAGAGTTTAAGTTACAGACTGTTATGTTGACAATCATTTTTATCTCCTGCCATTGGTTAAAAGCAATCTGTTGGGAATAAGTAGCTAAATAAAAATATCAAGAACTGTAAATGCTAGAAATCTGAAAAAAAAGGCAGAAATTGCTGGAAAACCTCAGCAGGCCTGGCAAACATCTGTGGACAGAAAAACAGAGTTATCGGGACCCGAAACATTAACCGCTGAGGTTCTCCAGCAATTTCTGTTTTTATTGCAATAAATAGCTGTTTTGTTGTTAAGTACAGAAAGCTGGTGAGTGTTTTATTTTAACCTGAGTTCATCAGGCAGGTAAATTTGGATAGTTTCTCATCAGATTTATGATGATTCTGAGGATTGTATAGATTGATTTCCAGCTTCCTGCTCCAGTGAATCATGGCACAGCAGATAGTAATCTGGAAATATCAACCTTCAAATACTGGGGAAGGGTGGGGTGGGTTGGGAGAGGGGGGGGTTAGTGTTCATCTGGAGATTCAAGACATAAATCAATGGAATCTTATTGGATAAGGATATCACAGGTTTGGGGTAAATGAGATTGAGATGGAGATCAGCAATGATCTGATTGAACGATAGAATGGGTTGAAGAGGCTGAATAGCCTTTTCCTATTCCTCAGGTGGTTGGGTAGGTGATAATATCCTACAGATAATTAAACAGGGGAAGGTCATTGAGCCTCTTCAGTCAACAGATCATTGCTGATACCAGGGAGTGTCTTATGAGGAGAGGTTGAGTCAGTTGGGCCTGCACTCAATGGAGTTTAGAAAAATGAGAGGTCACCACATTGAAGCTTACACAATCGTCAAGAAATTTGACAGGCTAGGGAAGTTGTTTTCCCTTGTGGGAGAGTCTGGGATCAGAGGGCATTATCTGAGAGTAAAGGGTCACCCATTTAAGACAGAGATGAGGAAGAATTTCTTCCATCAGAGAGGAGTGAATCTGTGGAATTCTGTGGAATTCTTTGGTGCGGAGGGCTGTCGAGGCTGGGTCATTAAGTCGACATTTTTAATCAGTGAGGGAATCAGGGGGAAAAGCCGGGAATGTGGAGTTGAATTATTGAATAATCAAATGGCAGAACAGACTTGATGGGCTGAGTGGCCTGCTCTGCTCCCGTGTTTTACGGTCTAAAATGAAAGCAGCCCTTGCATAACTGTTCTTTTCGATATTTAAGAGCTTCTCCCTGGATAATAAACTTTTTTTTCTCGCTTTTCTCCAGATATTTAAACATATCCTGGGAAGGGAAATAAAACAGAAGAAGTACAAGCACCTTTCTAGAAAGTTCACTGAGTGGGAATATGGACCAGTTTCTTGTTCCTTATATGATCTGTCTGGAGTCGATACAATTGAAGAGAACTCTGTGCTTGAGACGGTGGTGTACAGCAGCAGGAACAGGGTAACACCTTTCCCCCAGATAGCCCGTTGTCGAAAGGCATCAGGGAACTGCGGGAGTAATTCATCACTGTCCCCTCGCCAAGCCTTCTCCCCCTTCCATCCCCCATCCCTCACCTGTCTAACACTCCCTCTGCCCTCTCCCCACCTCACTCCTCGTCCCCTCCCCTCACTCCAGCCTCCACAGACCTCTCAACCAACCCCCTCCCACCCCTTCCCTCTTTCCTCATCTATCCATTCAGCTTCCCAACCCTTCCATCTATCCCTGACCGCCCTCCCACTTCCCTCCCGCCCACACTCCCTCCCTCCCCGCACGCCTCTGGCACGCCTCTCCTCGAACCCTCCG